TGAAGAACTCTTGTGGGCACAAGAAGAGGCAAAGATGATCTGAGAGGAATTTAGGGGCTGGTAGGATCATCAGGGTTTAGTGATAAGTTGTAAGTTGGGAAATAAACATTGAGAAGATGGAGGAGTTGAGAATGGTTTCCAGGTCTCAAAAAAAGTAGGATCTGACATTCACTGAAGCAGACAAAAGGCAGAGCAAACAATAGGAAAAGTCATGCATTCCATTATGAGATTTGTCCCACTGGCACCCTAACCTTACAAGTAAGGAGCTATTGGTTGGTATTAGCCATGTCTGCAGCTTGAGTGATACGAGGATCATTTGTTGGATCGCACTTTGTGATGGTGTCAGAATTGGGAGCATGTGCAAAGTGGATGCTCGTCAGCACAGAATCCCAAAGGGGAGCACGGAAGAGAAAAGCAGCCTTCTTATGATGGTAGGCCTTCCTTTCCTATACTTCGGATCAGAGGAGGACTGTTGCTTACTCCTGCTTTCAGATCATTACTTTTTCCTTCCTCATGCAAACTCTCTCTTGTCTTCTGAAGGGTATTCCTTTCAGTCATACCACATCTTATACATTCGGTTTTTTAGTGTGTATCCATCTCCTGGTTCCTCTCACACAGGCATCCATAGCTCAGGAAATCTGGGAGCTAGATGCCTATCTAATCTTCTTTAGCTTCAAGAGAATTCAATGTCTATAGATAGTCCTTACTTTCTTCAACGAATCTTTATTCAGCTCTAATTATAGGACAGGCTCCATATTAGGCACTGGATTCAGAGGCATACAAAACTGAGTGTCTGCTCTGGTGGTACATACTTTCTATTTTGGGGAGACAAATATGTATCTGGTGCCATGTACTAAAAAGAAAACTAGAGCAAGATAAAAGGGTAAGAATGACAAATAGGCGGGGGTGCGGTGGGGGGGACTTCTTTCGGAAAAATGATATAACGAAGACCCACATGAAGCAAGAGTAAACTGTGTGGGTATATGAATGTATTATGTATTGCTGTATAACAAATTATCCCAGAATTTAGCAACTTAAAATGATAAATATGTACTTGTCATCTCACAGTACCTCAGCATTAGGAACCAGGGAGTAGCTTTTAGCTGATGCTTCTGCTTCGGGTCTCACATCAAATTGCAATCCTAATCTCAGGAGGGCCACATTGTCATTATTTTGTCATCCATACCTTAAACTACCTCTCTTTCCTGACTTGTCTCCCTCTTTGCCTAAATGCAGTTTCCCAGTCCAGCTTCTTGCTTCTCTCTCATTCCCTTTTTTTATTCCTGCTTCCTAAAAGAAAAGATGTTTGCTGTCTTAATTTTGGCAACTTGTCCTCTTTCGTCTCCTGTAGATGGGCTCCCACTCTCTTCCACACCAGGAAGTCTCTGTCGAAGGTGACCTCTGGTGATGAAGACCAGTCTCTTCTTAATTTGGTTGATTTCTCTTGCGGCATTTGATTCTCTTTCTCTTGAGATGCTCTCCCCTCTTGATCGCTGTTATGGTATTTTGCCTTCTACTTCTCTGACACTACCAGCCTCTCTTGGATCAAGCTCTTCTGCCAGTTGTTTACATGTTGGTATTTCTTAGAGTCTTGTTCTTGACTCTTTGTTTTTAGTTTACTTTGTCTTCAAAGCTGACCCCTACCAAAACTAAGCTAATAATCCCTGATCCCCCCCACCCCCCACAAATACATTGTTCATCTGTATTCTTCTTTGGTTAATGGAATCTAGGCACCCCAGTTTTAAAAAAAATCATCAAAATTTTCCTACCTTTCTACATTCTGTAAATAACCAACATATGTTAGTTCTGTCTTCTCTAACTCCCTCTTGCCTCTCCCTAGTTCTCTAGCCCATGACCCTTGCCCTAGGTCCTTCCTGTTTTTACCTGGTCTGCCGTACTTGTTGGATAACTGATACCCCAATCTCTGTTCTGGTTTATTTTCATCTACCCTTGATGCTGCCACCAGTTCTTTTGTGTAACTCTTGTTTCTCAGCCTGTTAATACCTGGGTTGCCCAGCCATCACGGACTCTCAGTTATCAGAGAGAGCTCAGATCCCTTGCTTGGCACACAGTGCATTTGGCCATCTGGTCTCTGTTGGTCTGCTTGGCGCAACTTTTGCTCCCCTCACCCTTAAATGTAATGCTCCTGCGGGATGGAAGTTCTTACATTGCCCTCAAAAGGCCATGCTGTTAATGCCTCTGTGCTTTTTATTTCTGTTGTTTTCCTGAAATGTGTTTTCTCCCTTTTCCCCTTCAACCCACAGGTCATTCAAATCACAGGTCCCTGTCTTTGTTTTGTGCCCCATTTATCCTCAACCTTGTTCCTAGACAATGGAGTTCATAACTTACTTTTCTTTACTCCCCTTCAATAGGCTGCCATTCTTGTTCTTACTGTATTATTTATCCTGTCTCTCTCTGGTTGTGTGAGCTTTGAGGGCAGGGTCTCTGGCCCATTCACTCTTCTGTCCCCTCAATACTTAGCAAAAGGCCTGACACAAGGTTACTTAGTAAGTATCCATAAATAACATGTAATTTGACTGAGTTAGTATGGTTTTAGGTAGGGTTTTATAGGGGAGTTAACACTCCAAAGACTTATTATTAAACTTTCTTCAAAAAACATTGTTGGGTTACTTGGTAGAATTGAGGACTGAGTTAGGCAGAAGTTGAGAAAAAATAAAAATCCCTGCCAACTTAAAAGTATTAGATACCAAGTAATTAAAAGCTTTTTCTGAAGCCAGCATTAAGGTATTTATATTGCACATTAAACATATCTTGCTGTTCCAGCTTTGTACGCAATTACCAAATTTTTAAAAGTTGTTTATCTCAACTCTAAATACTCTCCCATAGAAAGAATGTTACTTATATTTCTGTATCGGGGTGCAGTCTGGAGACAGAAACCACACAACTGAGTAGGGAAAATTTAATCAGTGAGGGATTGGTTGCAATGGGTAAGGAAAACTGGAGAATATAGGAGTAGTAGATATAGGGAGCACAGCATCCAGGGAAGGAACAAATCTGGAAGAGGGTCCTGCTCCCCACATCTCAAAGCCTGGGATCCAGACCTCATTGGAGAAGATGTGGCATGTCCTACTGCATGGCAGAGAGTTTGACTGAAGTGCCACACTAATGGGACACCTGGGGAGTCTGCCTTCTGAGGTGCGGCACTGTAGAACTCACTGGGGATCTGCCAGTGGGGGTGGTGCCCTAGGAAGCCACCCTCAGGCTGGGATAAGCTGCCCACGTGTTCGTGCCACGTGCCTGCAGGTGTGAGAAGGGAGCCCTTCTTCCCCCTTCCTTCCTCCCTCCAACACTTTGTGAAGTTGCACTAACTGACACAGGCAGGGTACTGGGAGGGCAGCACAGAAAAGTAATAAATTGACGACTTTGATTCCTGAGCTTCCATATGTTCCCATTTAACAATATAAAAGTCTCATAGGAATTAGGAAAAAATACGTGTATATATAATTTATCTTGAATTCTAGTACCCAGTGAGAGTTGTGCAATGAAATGAGGGTGGCAAAGGAGATGAAATCACCCTTAATGTGTCCCGAAGTAGTTAATGGTGTTCTTGGACAAAGTACATTATGGAATATATTTTTGTTCATCTGCATAAAGTAAAGGCATTATTCTTACACCTGTCTCTTAAGAATTAGTTTCAGCTTAGAAACAGAAAATAAGTCTTTTCTATACTGACTGAGGCACAGCTGATAGACAGGAAATGTGTGTATGTGTTAAATGTTTGCCCAATGTAGAATTTACAACCCCTATTTCAGTACATTAGCCAAAATGTTTGAGAGTCAGGATTCCTCTGGCCATTGAGCAAAGATAGGAAACAACATTTTGGGTGAATGACTCTAAAAGGGGAGAAATCAAATATTGGGGAAAAGTTTGGAGTCAGGTGATGGTCACTGGGACCAGTGAGGCCACTTTATACGGAACGTGTGTCCTGCTTACCCACACGCCAGACAGACATGATGATAGTCCAGTCCAAGTAATGGGGTCCTAACTCAGTACCATTATTCCAAGTCAGTTTTTAGGGTAAAAGTTGACATGGGTTTTTGTTTCATAAGCTTAACAGCTCTAACTCATGGGGACTGCACTGAATAATCCTACAGGCTCTTCTAGGAGAATTTTTTGTTGTCATAGGAAAAATAGGAATAAAAGCAGTGTTACCTGCTTTGAAGAGGATTCTTAGGACTGTTGATGACAAAATAGATATTTAATGAATCTTGACTGATATTTATTGATATTTGGGTCTGTAACTTAGAAGAAAGGAGAGTTCTAAGGCCAACTCTGATGTTTTGCACAGTAAGACCTTATTATTACTCATCTCTTCCTGTCAATTTCATGAACCTCTCTCTCTCTTTCTGTGGTTGTCTTTGTATGTTATTGCCTGGTACTAGGGAACATCTAGATATTTCGTACAGATTTTGCTTTTCTGTCATCCATTCTTACCGGCTCTGAGACATGTGCAAGAAGTTGGGGGACTGGTGAAGTCCGGGATGGGGGGACGGTTGCACCCTAATCCCCCAGCTATGGAGCAGCTTTGATTAAGTTATACATGCTGGGTACTGACTTGGATACCAGCTATTGACCTTCAGATCCTCATTCAAATAATTGGGAACCCCCTCCCTGCTGAAAAACTAGCCAGAACTCTAAAGTACAGATAAAGAAGTTGAGTTTACATCTCCAATTAACTTCTTAACTCTGAAAGGATTCAGTTGCAGAGATGCCCATGACCTTCAGGTGGGGGTGCATGTAGTTCAGGTTGGCTCATCATACGATTTCTTAGCTTTCATTACTGCCTCTTGTAAACATTTCATCATTTTAGAAGATTGGGGTCCTTCTTTATGTCATTATTTACCATATGTTATAAAACATTTTAAATCATTGTGGAATACTTGGTGTCATAATTCTGGCTGTATTGTTAAAAGCAAGGACTGTTAGTGTTCCTGCCTAATTGTAAATGGGTTTTTTGTCTGTTTTTTTGTGTCTCCTAGGTTTTTCTGAAGAGTGATCGAGTGGCCAGAATGGTTCAGAGTGGAGGGTGTTCTGCTAATGACTTCAGAGAGGTGTTTAAGAAAAACATAGAAAAACGTGTGCGGAGTCTGCCAGAAATTGATGGCTTGAGCAAAGAGACGGTGCTTAGTTCATGGATAGCTAAATATGATGCCATTTACAGAGGTGAAGACGATATGTGCAAACAGTCCAATAGAATGGCCTTAAGTGCTGTGTCTGAACTTATTCTGAGCAAGGAGCAACTCTATGAGATGTTTCAGCAGATTCTGGGTATTAAAAAACTAGAACACCAACTCCTTTATAATGCATGTCAGGTAAGTGGTCCATATTTCCCATTTCCCCACCTGGCTCAGAATGAACATCAAATATTTACAAGCCTATGAAAATGTACATTTTATAATTACTTTGCCTGCAAAGTTGAGTGAAAATGAATTTTAATAAATTGAGTAGTGGTATTTGAAAGAAACTTTGAAAGAATTATTTGATGGAGGGAGAAGAGTATCAGTACATTCTATCCTGTAAGTAATCGTTGCCATGTGCCTTATGTTAGGACATCAGATTTTCACCTATTGGGTACATAAGGGGAATACCCCAAATAATAAAATGAAAATCAGCTGTTACCTAAAAAAGCTGGGCAATTTATAATAAGGAGGTATTCTTGAGTGCAAAATAATTTTTTTCATAGTTATGCTGGTCTCCTGAGTTCTATGAAATTGAAACTTCCAGAATTTCTTTAACCCAGCCGGATAGAAATGAATGAAGATGTTGCTGAATTATGTAATTTAGAGATGACCAAATAAAAAATACTTTTTCTCTTCAGTTGTTATTCGACTCATACATAGGACAAATTGAATAAAATGTCATGTTCCACATCTTTCATCTTTGGGCCCTATGATTTGTCTAATAATGTATCCATTTCATGTTTGCATTTTGTTTATGTTAGTGGTATAAATTATTTAACTATGCCCTAATATACAATTTAAATAGACAAAATTCAGGCATTTTGAAATTTGTGCATTAGTTACCTTCTATAATGTACATACATTTACCTTTATTTTTTTTTAAGATTTTTTTTAAATTAATTTATTAGAGAGAGAGAGTGAGAGAGAGAGCGCAAGAAGGGGTAGGGTTAGAGGGAGAAGCAGACTCCCCGCCGAGCAGGGAGCCCGATGTGGGACTCGATCCCGGGACTCCGGGATCATGACCTGAGCCGAAAGCAATCGCTTAACCAACTGAGCCACCCAGGCGCCCCCATTTACCTTTATTTTTAATCTTTTCACAAATCTCTTAATTTCTGCTTTCTATGTGTATCATTTGCTTTGCATTACTAACTTGTGAATCACTTCAAATGAATAAATTGACAGGTAATAGTAAAGCAATGTAGCATCTTAACCCTGTGAACAATTCATGCATTCATCATAATTGTTTTCATTATTATTAAACCAGGTAGCTATTTGATAATAGTGGCAGATGACTATAAAACCACAATCTTCTGTTTTAAAAGATTAATGCAACTGGGACTTTGTATTTTTAATGAAACAGTAACTCACTTGTACAGCTAAATATTGATGAACATGACTTGTTAAATTCAGATTCACACATTTGGTAGATATTTATTGAGTATTTATTCAAGTTTTTGACTTGCTGGATGTTGGGGAAACCAAGCTGAGCAAATGAAGATATTTGTTCTCCATATCTCGATATGCTGAAGCCTAGTAGAGCAGATGGATCTCTAAAATGAGTTATAACAACTGCATTGAAACTTATACTGGGTGTTACAGGGTCATAACATCCACTGACGTCGGGTTTTTTTTTTTAATAAGTGCAGCAGTGTTATGTCTTTTTATGTAATTAACTCCTTTATCATTGTATAAAATCCCTCTTTATCCCTGATAATTATTTTTTTTTTCTGAAGTCTGCTTTGTCTTAAACTAATACGGCTACTCCAGCTTTCTTTTGATTAGTTAGCCTGGTGTCTTTCTCTGTTTACTGTTAACCTATCTGATTCCTTGTTTTTAAAGTGGGTTTCTAGTGGACAGCATTGAATTGCCTCTTGTTTTTTTTTTTAATCCAGTCAGACATCTCTGTCTTTTAATGGCTATGTTTAGACTATTTATATTTAAAGTGATATAGTTGGCTGAAGTTCTACAGTCTTAGTTAAGGGTTGTCACTTCCTTGGATTTGTCATTTGTCCCTTGTCCCCTTCCCCACCCATTTCTGCCTTCTCTCATTTGAATTGAGCATTTTATGTGATTCAATTTTATGTGATTTTCCTTTGATGTACTACCTGTTTTTTGGGTTTTTTGTTTTTTTTTTTAAACTTGGTTAGGAGTAGTTTAGTGGTGGCTCTAGGGTTTACAGTCTACATTTTAAATTATTCAAGTCCATATTCAAATAACATTATAAGTCTTCAAGTGTAGTACAGCTGTCCTAGAATAGAGAATTCCCAATTCCTCCCTCCCATCCCTTCTGACATCTGTCATTTATTTCACTGATACTTCTGTCCTTCATTACCGTGATGTTTTTATCATCTAGTGCATTGTTACTATTATTGCTTTAAATGGTTAATTTTTAGATATTGAGAATAAGCAAGAAAAATAAAAATTTTAGTATTTTACCTTCATTCCTTCTCCTGATACTCTTTGTGTAGACCCAAGTTTCTGACTGGTGTCATTTTCCTTATTTTTCTGAAAAGCTTCTTTAAATACCTCTTGCAAGGCAGGACGACTGGTGATGAGGTTCTCAGTTTTTGTTTGTCTGTTTTCATGTATAAAGGATAATTTCACTGAATATAGGATTCTCAGTTAGCCTTTTTTTCTCTTTCAACACTCTGAAGGTTTCAATTCATGCTTTTCTTGCTTGCATGCTTTCTGATGAGAAGTCTGAAGCTCCTGTGTTCTGACTTCAGTATTTTCTCCTTGTCTTAGTTTCCTGAGTTGGAGTATGATATGCCTGGGGATAGGCTTTATGATTCTCTTGCTTGGCATTCTCTGAACTTTCTGTTTCTGTGGGTTGGTGTCTGTTGTTCAGTTTGCGGAAAATTCTCGGCCGTGATTACTTCAGATTTTCCTTCTGTCCCATTCTCACCTCCTCCTTGTAGTCCAGTTATATTTGTGTCACCCATATTTGATATTGTCCCGCAGTTACGGGTTGTTTGTTTTTGTTTTTTTCTCCTTGCATTTGAGATTGGGAAGTGTATGTTGACCTTTCTTCAAGTTCACTGACTCTTCCTCAAAACCCTCAGGTCTGCTGATGAGCCCATCAAAGGCTGTGTTCATTTGTGCTAGTGTTACTAACCTCTAGCATTTCTCTTTGAGTCTTTCTTGGAGTTCCCATCTACTTATTTACATTACCCATCTGTTCTTGCATGTTTTTAACTTTTTCCATTAGAGCCCTTAATTTATTAATCTAAGTTAAACTCCTTTTTTTTTTTTTTTTTTAATAACTATAACATCTCTGTCACCACTAAATCCCATTGGGATGCTTGCTTTGTCTCTCCAGTCTGTTTCTTTTTCTCTTTTGGCATGTTTTGTAAGTTTTTTTTTTTGAAAGCCAGGCCTGTTGTATCAGATTATAAGAACTGAGGTATATTTGCCTTTAGTGTGAGGATTTACATTAATCTGACTGGAAGGTAGGCTGTGTTTAATGTTTATTGTAATGTTTGTAGGTACAAGAAGCTTCAAATTCTCCTAATGTCCTTTTGACTTGAGGCTTTCCTGAGTATTCATCTTCAGAAAGAGTCTTACAGCCCCTCCGCTGTTACCCTGGAGCTGTGTTGGTGCTGTGGTAGAGTGTTGGGGAGTAGGGACTGTTCTACAGTCTGACTGCATCTCGGATTTTTAGTAGGCCTAGGTCTCGGGGCTGTAGCCTTCACAAGTGTTTCTGTCCCTTGTCTAGGAGTATGGCTTCCCTTCCCACCATATGCCTTATTCCCTTCCTCGCTTAAAGGATATCCAGTCTGTTTCCTTGAAATTGTGCCTCCTCTTCACTCAGGTGTAGAAGAGATCAGAAGGCTGCAAAAGACTGCAGAGGGTAGCCTTTTCTCTCTGCAGCAGGGACAATTATTCAGTGTTTCCTTTTGGCAAAATCCACCCCCCTTTGTTAGGTAGAAGAATATGGGAGGTTTAACAGTGGCTTTTCTTCCCTTCTTCCTGCCAAGTCCACATGGGCATCTTTCTTGGATCCCTACAATGAGAACTTGGTGGGATTACTATAGACGCCCCCTTCTGATGACAGCACCAGGAGTTTCTCACTCTCTGCACTAAGCTTCTAGTAATTTGTCCAAATTACTTGTCAAGTAAGTAGTCCTACTCTTCATGGCCTCCACTGACTTCTGTTTCCAATATTACACCTCTCTGGTTTTGATTGTGTCTCCAGGTGTTGGGTTAGTGGTTTGCCCTGCAACCTTAGTTCTCTGACAAGTCCAAGAAAAGTCATTGATTTTCAGGTTGTTTAGCTCTTTATTTTAAGAATGGGAGTGATGACTTCGAATCTCTTTACAGGTCTGAGCTCAAACTGCAATTCCTTTGGTTCTGAGATTTGAAAAGCCCTTAAGGGTTATTTCTTTGATAGACTTGAGAAAAATTACAAAAAATACTTGTATAAATAAAGGAAGAGCTTTACTTTGGAGTAACAATCATTTTATGAAATCAATGAAATAATGAAAATGGACGAAAACAGCTGAGATTCTTTTTTCTTTCTCAAGGGCATATGTATCTTATTTGTTCTTCCATTGTATTTCAACAGAGGTCTAAAAAGAAAAGGTGATAGAAAATACAGACAGTAAACTGCCCTTTATAGGAAAGGAATAGTTGGAGAAGAGGAATAGTGGAGCAGGGGTTGGGGGAGTGGAGAAAGGACCTTAAAGCTAGCTGAGCTGTTGGAACCTGGCTCCAGGTACAGGTCGGTGAAATTTACTCCACTTTCCTGACATCTCAGGAAAGGCTTGGAGACTTACTAACTGTAACTCTTCTGTATTTGTTCACCCTTAGCTGGTCCCTTGTTTTTTGCTGGTAGGGTCCCCCTAGGAAATCTCTCAGATATGTGCTTGCTTCCGGGGCAGAAGCTCTGCATACAGAGCTGTTCTGCTAAGATGTGCAGGATGGCAACAGCCAGACAGCCCCTGGTCCTTGAGAAAGGAAAAACCGGAATGTGAAGGGAGTGGCACCAGAGCCGCAGCCTGATGCCACCCGAGCTTCGTGTGGTCGCAGTCTCATCCCAGAGCTGTAGGATCAGCATCAGGAATGGAAAAACAGAAAAGCAGAGGTGGTTACATTATGTTTGATTAGAGCCAGGAACTTAGTAATTATCAAAG